TCTATTCATCTATTGATGGGCACTTAGATTGGTTCCATATCATGGCTAGTGTAAACTGCAATAAACATGACTAAGCAGGTGTCCCTATAGTGTACTGCCTTTAATTGCTTTGGGTATATATACTAAGAAGTGGTATGGCTGGGTCATATGGTATTTCCATTTTTAGATTTTTTTGAGGAACATCCATACTGATCCTCATAGTGACTGTACTAATTTACATTTCTCCTGCAATGCTAAAAAATGTAATGTATATTTTCCTGCCTTGTTTTTAAAGTAAGATTGATACGTGCAGAAATTCTCCTTATATTGTAGAAACTGGGCTTAAGTCTGGCAGCCTTGATAGATGGAAGGTTATTAATATTTAAAACATGGCAAACCATCTAGGTCTACTTAAGCAGGAATAACACACACATTCGTCATGACTTTGGCCCAACAGTCAGAAAAGATGTGAGGGGGTTCCTTGGGGTGCCAGTTGTTAATCTTCATGCATGACTACAAGAGGTTCAGTGGGCCCCAGGAAAGGGAGAGCAGGTAGAGCAGTGAAAGGGGACTTCAGAGCCTTGGGGAGCACTGCTTCACCACTGAAAATGAAGTTGTTTAGAGTATTATCAGAGCTGATATGAGTTTATCAGCATGTACTTGCAGAACACCAACAACATTACTGGGCTTTGTGGGGGTTTGCAGTGCTGGTGATTGATTCCCAAGGTCTTGTGTGTGATAAGCACATGCTTTCCTGGAGAGCTGCACCCAAAGCCCCTCAAAGATTTCACTGTACACTACATTCCATTCAGTACTGCTTTAATTGTAAGAAAAGATATTTTTAAAAGATAAAATTTGCCTTTTTTCATTGTATCTGATAGAAATGTATCTCCCCACTGAAGTTTCCTTCTTTCTCCTCTCAAAGCTTCCTACCTGCCAGCCATCTACAGACATACACCTCTAGGCACCCAGTTCCCAAGAGGAAGCCCTGGTTTCCTGCAACATCATATGCTGGACAAGATACATGTCTTACTTATGTCTGTTCCTGGAGCACTTCTTACACTGATATCAGCTTGGTAGTAGCTCACCAGGGAACTTGACCTGATAAATTAAGGTGAAGATTTACACTTTTAAGGAATGTGGACATCTTTGGTCCAGAGTGGTAAAAACATCTTTGTTGCTATAAATTCAAGGAGAATGGTTGTGGAGGTAGTAGTTATTTTTGAGAATCTAGGGAAGTCTGACACCATTCATCTCTTAATCACACTATGATGATTTCTACTCAGATGATGTTTGGTGTAACCACTCCGCAAAAACCGTTGCCTGAAAGATGTTGATGACTTTTATACTAAGATGCTAAAAATTAAAATAATTGCTTAAAAGATATTTAACAAAAACAGTTACTTAAAAAGACAGTTATTAATAATATTGTCATTCTGTACTGAGCTCATTACCCTAGTAACCAAGCACCAACCACATAGTTATAAATTAACTGACCACATCGTTCTGCTGTTCTGTAATGCGTCATCCCCCCCTACCTTAGTGACCTGTGTGCAATGTCAACTTTTGTTCCCCTTGTAAGAGACAAATGATGCTGTGTCAACCATTGTTCCCTTTATGAGAGACAAATGTTCCTGGAATTGGCAGACCAAGGGCTATGAATTGGCTAACCATCCACTGTGAAATGCCTCTTACCTCAAGCAAAGGGGAACAAAGGCCCACCTTATTTCTGTTTCTCATCACTATGTACTTACTGATCAATGAGCTAATCATAAATAAACTATAAAAATCAGTCAAAACTCTAACTCAGTTGCACAGCTTTGCAAATTCCATCTGCGTTGTGTTGCTGGACCAGCTAAAATAAAAGCGTTTCTTTTAAAAAGACGTCTTGCCCCGTTTGTCATCTTGGGGTCTTGCCCCGTTTTTCACCATGGGGCCCTGTTTTTTGAGTAGAGTACAACAATGACTAAGTAAAATAACATTCACAAAGAATCCCCAAACTCCAATCTTTGCAATTGCCTCTGGGATAAATCAGTTGTGTGTTCTGTTTCTGCTTCCCAGTCTTTCTTTCTTTCTTTCTTTCTTTCTTTCTTTCTTTTTTTTTTTTTTTTTGTCTTTTTCTTTTTTTATTGATACCAGGGATCGAACTCACGACTGCCTGCTTGCAAGGCAGGTGCTTATGCCGCTGAGCTAAATCCCCAGCCCCTCCCAGTCTTTCATAGAAAGGTGATGAAACATTGAATTTAAAAGGAAATGGGTCTAGAGTTAGGGGAACAGCTAGCTCAATGTAGAGACATTGCATAGCATGTATGACTCTCTGGGTTGGATCCCTGATACCACCAAAAAAAAAAAAAATTAAAAAATAAAAAGAAAATAGAAGTAAAAAGAAAACATTTTTTAAAAAAGTAAATTAACTAAATGCTATTAGAGATCCTGAATTGGATCTTGGAACAGAAAAAGGAACACTTATAGAAAAAAGCTGAAATCTAAATAGTCAATAGTTAATAGTATTGTACCAGTCTTAATTTCTTACCTTTGAAAAATGTACTATGGGGCTGGGGATTTAGCTCAGTGGCATAAGTACCTGCCTTGCAAGCAGGCAGTCGTGAATTTGATCCCTGGTACTGATAAAAATGAAAAAGACAAAAAAAATGTACTATGACTATGCTTGATAATATGACATTAACATTAGGAAAAGTTGGGTGAAGTACATACAGGAATTATCTAGACTGTCTTCACAACCTTTCTGGAAATCTATATTTAAGAAAGGTGAAGGAATCAATTAATGGTGGTGCAGGTTTCTAATCCCAGCATTCTGAGAGGCTGATGTAGGATGATAAGTTTGAACTCAGCCCAGGCACCTTTACACTTTAGAGAAACTGTCTAGAAACAAAAAAAAGAAAGAAAGAAAAGAAAAAGGATTGAAGTTTTGAACCAGTGTAAGATAATCTAGGTCTTAATTAGTCTATTCATAGAATAACTGCATTTCAATGACACTGCTGACCCCATGGGTGTGAACATCCCTTGCTCAAAGCCAGGCCAGCCACATACCAGTCTTTTAACAATGCATCACCAGACATAACTATTTAAAATGCTTCACAAAAAGTAGCTTGAAACACAGATTAGAGATGGTGAATGAATTAATCTAGTAAGGAAATTTCAAGGCAACCCAGTGTTCAGATTGTGGCATGGGTTTTGCTGGCAACTTTTAACCATGTTTATCCTAAAATACAGGGCAAAAGGCCCATTTGAAGAGTTTTCAGTTTGACCACAAAGGAAGCACTTGGAAAGATGGTACAATACTGAGTGGAATTGCTTAACATTAAAAATAAGATAAGTACTTTATAACAGCACAATAGAAAAAATGCCTTCAGGGCACCCCAGAAATCAGAATAATCTTGCCCTTTAACTTGTAAAGGTCAAAGACTTCTGCTTAAGAAGACTCTCCAGTGTGCTCTGTTCTTTTTGAGTCAAAGAGGAAATGTTTCCCGGACTTCAGCTATCTAACATATTTCCCTGAAAATAATATTTAACCAGAAAATAAGCCCTGGTGTGATATTTCAGGATGCTCATAATATAAACCCTAATTCCAAAATAAAGCCCAGTTAAGATCGTCAGCCAGAAAGATGCATTTAGTATGCCTCTTGCAACACAAGATAGACATATTGAATTGTAAAGCAATAGTAATACATAATTAAACATAAATCAATATTATTACTATATTTTTAAATTTTATTTTGAAAGTAGTAAAAATATAACCGAACAAGGCAGATGACAAAGCCAATCGAGACAATACAGTGAAACTGGTACAGAACTTCATAGCAGGATACTGAGATGGAAGTAACAGGTACTATAGAATATCTCATTATCTTCACAATAGTTATCCAGTCAATTAGATTTAATGAAATCAAACCAAAAACAGAACATTATAAAATGAATTGAGAGTATTGAATAGAGCAAAAGAAACATAACAAAACAGTGAAAACAACCTTTGCCTTCAAACAGAAGATAGAAGGAAACCCCCATATTTGCTATATTGCATAAGGTCATCCAGTCAAGAGACACCGAGACATCTATACCCAGTAACTGGGGGAGGATTGGGGAGAGAGGGTGTTTGATTCTCAGCTCTGGGTCAGTAGGCTCTCAAGAGGGGGTTGCTGGTTCTCCTCCTGGTGTGCTCCAGGGGCGCTTACCAAGAGGGAGGGTGAGTAAGCTGTCTAAGCCCCACCATGGCTGGATCTCGGGAGCTGCTGCAACCCAGGGCATCTCCTGAGGTTTTTGGGGTTCTCTTCAAATTAAGTATTCATGGCTACCAAAGCAGGCACCTTTGGAGGAGAGGTAAACATCCATGAAGACAGATGAACTTGAGAGTTATTGCCAGATGATCAATCAGGGTACAGACTTAGTGCATAAATAAGATGGGCAAAAAGATGTGGCCATGTCAGTATGAATCTAGATAGCTCAATACATTGTGTGTTGTAATGGACATACTTAGTGAACTTTATGACATGAAGAGATGTTTTCTGAATTTGGGTGCCTGCAATTTTTTGTTACTTTAGTGTGGATTATTATTCTTAACTGTCACCATTTTGATTGCCACTCTAGTCTTGTAAATCTTCAACTAACACTTGATTTAACAGAAACTCTCTGAAGCCCAACCTGAAAGACTCATGAGTTGGGTGAAGAATTCATAAAATAAAATCACTGACAGCTGTGTTGCCAATGCATTAAAAGTAGGCTACATGGACAAGTGCTCACTTAAGGAGAGTTGTATTGCTGGAGGTAAGAGATTGGGGCTAATATTTCTATAAGAAATGAAGTTGAAAGAAATTCAGGTCAGAATTTGAGATTTGGAAAGTTATGACAATGTTTCACAAGATGACATGACTATATGAATAAATGTAGATTTTTGTACATGAATAAATGTAAATTGTTGTACATGAATAAATGTAGATTGTTGTTCACGAAAAAAGAAGACATTGCCTGAAAATAAGACTTATTGTGTCATTTTTTTTATACAGGGTCTTTCTATGTAGTTCAGGTTGGCCTTGAATTGGCAGTGATCTTCCTGCTTCAGCCTCGCAAGAGCTGGGATTACAGGCATGCACCACCACACCCAGCCCTATTGTGACTTTTGGAGCAAAAATTAAGACCTACTGTTGTTTTCCTGGAAATGTGGTAGGTGCTCAGAGGCCTCTGGAGCTATGGTTGAAGGGGTGCAGCTACTGCTCCAGCTGGCAGTAGACTTTGGTGGCATCGTCCATGCAGTGCTGGTTTTAGGTGCGTGCAGAATGTAAGAATTGTAGAGTCAGGGAAATTTCCACCCAGACTCAGAAGAAAGCTTGTGATCCCAAGCAGCGTGTCCCTGAGAGGGCAGTGTGCGAAGCTGTGAGAGTGACGCTGAAAGTGCAGTGGAGACCTCAGGAAGTTGGGAAAACCAGGAATGTGAAACATCCATGAAGGAAGGCCACAAGCAGTGAGCAAAACCAGCCTAACAGGGAAGCCATGAGAACTGTAACAGGCAACATCACAGCAGTGGGCTACTCTGGCCTGTGAAATTCACATCTTTGCTCCAGGTGCTGGACTCAGAATTATAGGATTTAATGTTTACTCTGCTGGGTTTTGATCTTGCTTTGCTCCCATTCCTTTCTATCCCCCTAGTTTTCCATTTAGAATGAAATGTTTACCTTGTGCCAGTGTATGTTGACTATGTTTATATTTCTTTTCTACTTTTATGGATGCCAACAGCTAAGAGTTTGACTTAAGTCTCAGAAGAGACTTAGGACTTGGACTTCTCAGCAATGCTGAAACTGTTAGAACTTTGGCTAAACTCTTAGAGATGAACTAAATGCATTTACATAAAGAGATGTACATTATTCTTCCAGGGACCAGGAATGTTACAGTTTCAGGCAAAACTGTCCCTCAACAGCCTCATGTACTCAGAGGCAGGGCTTTTGCAAGGTGGTTGAATTATGCAGGCACTACAGCTGCTTTGCTATTAGGAAAGTGGGCCTAGTTAGAGGTCAATGACTGAGGGCCCCACCTGGAAAATGTATCTCTTCCCCAGCTCCTCCCTTCTCTTTCTGCTTTATGGCTACTGCAATGGGATCAGCTTTCTCCTCCTGAGGCTGTTTTGGCATGCTGCTGACCATGCAAGAACTGAAACTGTGTGCCAAAATAAACCTCTCTTTCTCATAGTTGTGGGTGTTGGATATTTTGTCCTAGGAATGAGAAAGTGACTGACACATACTACTTCATGATAGTTGAGAGAACATGGTTGACATGATGCAGATTACTACGTTTAGTAGGAGGGCAAAAGTGCCACAAGAATTGCTTTACTTTTGGAAATGTTTGTGGATTTACTCAAACTGTTACTCCAAGTTATCTTGGAAAATGGGACCAGAGAAACATAGACTTCTTTTTTTAAATTAAACTAAATTTATAGAGCCAAGGTTTTAGCTCAGTGATAGGCTGCTTGCCAAGCATGTGTAAGGCCCTAGGTTGATATCTTCCCTTAAGAGAAAAACTTACGGCTTTAACTATTACATATGAACACAAAAATTATGTGCTAGGATGTAACTCAGTGAGAGAGCATTTCCATAGCATGTGTGAGACTTTGGGACACTCAGTACTGCAAAAGACAAAAATCCTCAAAAACTGTACACATGAGTACCATATATTTCAATACATGTATACATTGTGTAATCTGGTTAAACATATTTATCTCCTCAAACATTTATATTTCTTTATAGTAAAAGCATTGAAAATCTTTTTTTTTCTAGCTCTTTGAGATATTCATTACACAACTGCTATCTCTAGTTGCCCTGCTGTGCAACAGTGCACTGGAACTCCTTGCTCTTACCTAATGGCTCGTAAAATCTCATGATCAACCTCTTCCTATTACTCCCCAAACCATCCCCACCTCTGGTAGCCACCATTCAACTCTCGATCTCTGTGAGACCAACTTTTTTATATTTCACAAATAAGGTCCTGCAGAAGTAACCTCTGTGCCTGGTATATTTTACTTAATGATCTACAGTTCTATCAGCGTTGCTGTGAATGACAGGATTTCACTCTTCAGTATGGCTGAGTAGGGTTCCATTGTGTATATGTATTACATTTTCTTTATCCATTCATCAGCTGATGAACACATAGGTTGTTTCCATGTCTTGGCTATTGGGACTCGTGTTCCAATGAACACAAAGTAAAACAGCTCTTTGACATACTGACTTCACTTCCTTTAGTTACATTCCTATGACAGTGATTGCTGGTCCATGTGGTAGTCTTATTTTTAATTTTTTGAGAAAAGATTTCTGTGTTTCACACATCGTTCTCAGACTCCTGGCCTCAACTTACCTCTAGCCCTAGCTACTTGGGAGGCTGAGGCAGGAGCACTGGTTGCTGTGAGTTTGAGGCCAGCATGGTTACATAACAGTTCATGGCCAGCCTGGACTAAGAACATAGTGAGACACTGCCTCAAAAACAAAACAAACGAACAAATTCATGATTCTCATATAGGAAAGCAAGATGGAATTTTTAGCTTATGCACTTTTCACTTTCTACGATCAACATGCATTCCCATAATCATGAAAAATAAATGTTTACATACACAAGGTTACCAAATATTTTGCATCTAACTTGTGTCTTTCAGGCCAAGATTTAGTTCAGCATAAGCACCTGCCTGGCAAGCACAAGCTCCTGAGTTCAATCCCTGGTACCACACACACACACACAAACACACAAAATTGTATCTTTCTAAGTGGGTCACTAAAATTGAGGAAATGTCAATTTTCAGAAGACTATCATATACTATTTTCGGAACCAATTTTATGTAAAAAGAAAAGAAGACTTTGGCTGTGCTACATTACTTGTTCAGTTTTTTTTCAAAGTTATTTAGAAAAAAATATTTAGCTGTTGGCAAGGGTTGTTGTCCAAAATACTAGAAATAATAGCAAGGCAATGCTACTTGAATACTGTGAAGCACATTTGGCAAGCGATTTCAAAGGGAGAGTTTCTAGCCTCCCCGGCCCCCTCCATCTGTCCCCCCCCCCCCTTTCTGCTTGAATTGAAAGCACTGCTTGATTCTCTCTGGGAAAAGCAGCCTGACCGGAGTGGAGGGACTTCACTTCTTCTAGGAGAGGGGTGAACCAGGAGGTCACAGTTAGAGCTGCGAGGGAGGAGAGGTGGGGCAGAGGCAGAAGGCATTTGAGTGGGGGCTGTACATACTGGTGGCCTTGAGGAGCTGACATTGGCCAGGCTGAGTGTAAACTTGGGGACAGGAAACATGTTCCAAAGGTCTATCCATAGGAAAACCAAAAAGCCCTATAGGTTTATTTGCTTTTAGTTGACTTTCAGTATCAGTAATTTTGGAGGTCACACAGCTGAGCCACAGGTAAATGATTAGTCTGCTACCAGCTTTACTTTTAAGTGATACCTCCGACGGGGGCCGCCTCACTGGTTAAAAGTATTCTCCAACAAAATCTGCTTTCTGCTCTCCTCTCCTTTCAGTATCTTAAACTACAGGGTTAACTATTCCTGGGAAAAGAGACTAAAAAGATGTGAACCATAAATCTTAACCAAATGGTGACTTTTCTCTACGTTTATAGAACCCAGGTCAGCTGACGATGTTCAGGTAACATCAAACTGCATCTTCAACACAAAGCATGTAACTTGCTAATCCTGTACTTTAGTTAAAGGTGAAAGTACAGATAATGTTTCACTTACAGGAAGTGTTGTGCTTATCTGAATAATTACAGGGACTGGCCCACGAGATGAATGAAGGTTGGTTTTACTGCAAGGATGATCTAGCAAGAAAAGAGAAAAATTCATTCACTGAGTGACACAGATGGTTTTTGAGCTTGAATATTTGCTCAGCATGTGGTCTTCTGCCCACTGCTGCCCTGCCCTTCTTTTCCCTCCCCATCAGAGCTGTTTCACACACGCACAAGCGCATGCGCACGCGCGCACACACACACACACACACACACACACACACACACACACACACACCTGAGTTCACTACGATGATCTTTGTTTAGGGGATAGTCATTTTTCTGTGTGTTGTCAGACTTTTAGCCCCTTAAGTAAACTTTGATTCCTTCCTCAATGCTTGTCTTGTGCATATAGGCTTTTGAACAGCAAGCAGATAGACTTGGGTCTGGTAACAAGGGGGTTTGTTAAAAAGTTTGTCTTGTGATTTGTTAAGTTCCCCAACCTCGCCCCCATAGCACTAGTCTCCCACTCCCAAAGCCCTGCCTAACTTGATCTATTGTTTTCCAGTTTTAGTTACCTGTAATCAACAGTGATCCAAAAACATTAAATCAAAAATCCAGAAATCAACAATCAGATGTGCTCTGTTCTGAGTGGTGTGATGGAAACTTGTACCATCCCACTTCATCTCGCCTAGTACATGAGTCATTGTTTATCCAGCAAGTCCGAGCTGGCTGCTCCACCCACTCCACAGATCAGGGATTGGTCATCTTGGCTATCAGGAAGACTGTGATAGTATCACAGTACTTCTGCTCAAAAACCTTTATTTAGCTGATAACTTCCTTGAAGCATCCATAGTAGTGATAGTGGGCAACATTGCTTACAATTGCTCTATTTTATTGTTGCTTATATTTTACGTGACTAGTATATAAGTGAAATTTTGTAATAGGCATATATGTATAGGAAAAAATAGTACATGTAGGCATCTGTTGGGAGTCTTTAAACATAGCCCCACGGTTATAAAGGAGGATTATGGTATTGATATAAACTGCATGTATTTCAAACTTGACTATGTATTTACTATCTGCAATGGTCTTGGGAAAATCAATTTATCTCTCAGTATACTAAGCTGATTCCCTCATCTGTGAAGTGGGGCTATCGTCCTGTCTGCCTTATGGAGTTGTTGTGAAGATGAACTGAATGTTAACCCATTTCCACAACTGAAACAATGCCTGACTGTTATGAGGGCCATATAGCCATGTATGAGTTAGCTACTGTTTCTCTAGGTACTTAGAAGCCAACTGATGTTGTTTGAATGTATTGTCAGTAGACTGGCTCACAAATAATCCTGCAGAATTTGAAATACTACTACACTGGCTGTCATCATTATCTACCCAGTCTCTGAATCATTCTTTTGTCCTTATTTCTAAGCAGTCACCAATTTTTGTTAATTCACTCCCCTCAATCTCTTGCCTCTCTACTGCCTTAAATGATTCAATAATTCTTTCTTACATATTGCAGTAGCTACCAGCTTGTTCTTTTCCTCAGGATATGCTAGGCTGATATCCTTTAAAATAGAACCAGACTGTTACTCTAAAATTCAGAGCCCCATACATTACTTCCAGATTACACCTCTGGAGTATGGCTATTTGCATTCTTCATTCCCAGTTCAACCTGACTTCCTTAAGTCCTGCCATTTCCCATCCACCTACCACATTACTGCCATGTAGCCCTTGCACTGGTCCTCTCTTTTCTCAGCATTGATCTTCATATGATTGTTTAATGAGTTGCTATTTTAGCTGTTACGACACTAATAAAAAATGTTCTCAGAAACCTGAGGCGAGGTTAGTCATTTCCTCCTCTCCATTTACCCTGCCTTTGCACATTATGTGCTTGGGATTATAAATATATGGGGCTTTCTTCATAGACTATAATCTCCTTAATGACAGGGACTGGCAATTTCTTTGTTTGTTCAAAGCCATGGCCATATTCCTGACACGTCAAACAGGTTTAATAGCTATGTGGCCAGTGCATGAGTTAATAAATGAATGCAATAGTAAAATACCTCTAGTGACTAAGACATTGGTAGGTTAAACACAGCAAAGGAGAGAAAATGGTAGGCAGAGTCCACTGGCCACAAGATAGAGAAACTCCTTAGTATTTGTGCTAAGTGAGTAACATAATACCTTTAGATTTATATGAAGATGGAACTAACTAATAGATAAAAAGTGCTTGGAAAGTGTCTTGTGTATAATAAGCATGATATACATACATACATATATATATATATATAAAACACACATAAGTTATTGTCAGTGCTGTTGAAAAAGAATTACTGTAAACTGTGAGAGATAAGGACTCTGATTTGAGTTACTATTTAACTCCTAACATTTGTGGCAGAGTTTCCTACTGAATAGGAATTTCATAAAGCTTTATTAAAGGTATATGAATATAATGAAAAAGAAAACCAAATGAGAAAAAAGACCTC